ACGATGAAATACTTTTTCCAAGATGCTGATTATGCAAGAGGTTAAAATATTTAACTTGAATAGATTAAAGAAAACTCGATACTACTTTTCCTCTTATCTTACATCGCATTAAAGATAGGAACTAAAACTTCTTCACTTCTGTTAATATTCCTCTTCCCCCTTATCCTTACCTACCTCCCTTATAATCCTCTTAAAATTTCCTTCCACTAAATAACGAAATAGAAGCTGCAGTTCTGCCCGGGCAATATTAAATTCTTGTTACTTTTAAGGGAGAGATGTGCAGAACCTTGTATGTAAATTAATTTCCTCAACCACGCGGTTAAAATTGCTCCTAGATATTACATTCATTATAAATATTTGCACGGGAAACACCAACGTTCCATTCCAGTTTTGCAAGATCTCTTAATCTCAGGCTTATCTGTAAAATCATTGCGCTCTTCGAATTCCATTAAGTGGAATTTTTTTTTTTTTATACTTGAAAAAGTGGAAAAAATATATAATTTTTAATGGAGATGCTTATTAATTATTTGATCAGCTTTTTTTTTTTTTTTAAGGTAAAAAAGAAATCTAATCAATGAGAAAGATTTTACTTTGGAGAAAATAAAAATTTTATTTTCCAACTTTTATCATTCTATTGAGTTAAAGAGAAAGTTGAGCGTACACTTGCCTGCGCAAATATCTTTCAAAAATTCAATATAGCAGTTTGCAAGTTATTAAATTGTCTCATAAACAACTATAAGAAGTTAAGCTATGATCATGTTCCAGTAATGTAACGAGCATAAGAAATCTCTACGACATGAAAGATCTCATAAATTCCGCATGAATTCCTTCTAAATACCTTCTAAATACCTCGTAAATTCCTTCTAGATTATTAACTTACATCACGATCGCCTAGTCATCCAACAAGATAATCGATATCCCCGTCATGACTGATAGAAAATATTCAACGACCAAACACCGATTTTATATTAATATATGCTCCACATACATTTGAACGCAATTATACTCTTTAAATTATACTCTTATTATATTAAATTATACCATACCAATCAAACTGCTAATTTTTGAAAGAAAGAATTTTCTAGAAGAAAAATCTCTCATTGAGAAGAAATTTTATAATTTTTGAACTCAAAGCTAACCAATTTTTTTTAATTTTCCTTTATTTCAATATTCAATTTCTCATACATCTCGAGTAGTTATCGACTTATTATTAAATTATCTAATTATTCCATGTCTTCGATCATCGATTAAAAAAAAAGAAATGATTGGAACGAGTGACAAATCCCCAAATCCAGCAACTGTTACTCAGAGAGTCAAAAACTTGCTCGATATTGACACAAAGAGCGATTCATATCGAAAAGCAAGAAAGTCGAGGCATGGAATCGCCTTTTCTGAAACTTTTCTGACAACGGTGAGTACGACGTAGAACGACGTAGAACGACGAGTTGCACCGAAAGATGAAGGAGGAGGAGGAAGAAGAAGAAGAGAAAGAAAAAGTGGAGGAAGAAGAAGAAGAAGAAGAAGACGAAAAGGAGGAAGAGAAGAAAAACGACGAAGCACAACCGGATGAAAAAGAGATTAAGGGCGTATTATTGGTTTCGCGAGTTACGGCTCGTTTCTTGAGAAAGTTGAAGCGAAGCTGTCGTCGCGAGTTCAAAAAGCGCGGCAAACTTCCACTTTAATAAGCCTGAGCTTTCTAAGAGTTCGACCCTTGCCGTTTCCTTATTTATTTCTTTTTTTTTCTTCTTCTTATACTCTTCTCTTCTCTTCTCTTCTCTCTATATTTTTATTGCACTCCTACGATTTCTCGCATTTTCGATGCAATGCTATATAAATATAAACTTTCGAAGATATCGGGTTATGCAAATATACAGTGTATAGCGGTCTATGAGAAGAAATAGAAGATGAAGGAATATAATACTTTAACTTTGCGAATTATAAGAATGAAATTTTAGAAGAAAATTAAAAAATGTATAAGAGTAGGTTCTATATGTAAAGATTTCATGGAATTTCGGATGAATAATGAAAAGAGCCATAAAAGTTTAATAAAAAAAAAAAAAAATTTAGATACGTCTAAGATTTTGTTCATTTAATATAAAATTTGGACGTATTATGCGTGAATAGAGAACGAAATTACATTTTTTTTTAATAAAGATTCTAAATTATTCCGTGTATCTGAATGTATCCGAACTTTAATATTTATCTATTATGCATTTCACGATCGTGCATTTTCATATTTCTTATGAAACGGAAAAAGCATGCAAGAGATAAAAGATTCATTCCATGTAATATTCATTTTTCTTCTAGAAAATTGCATTCATATTAATTTTTCAATACATACAAAATACATACAAAAACGTATCCGCTTGGAAATATCCATCGTAATAATAGTTCCACGGAAAAGGGAGCAGGTTATGGGGAGGGGGATGGACTTGGAAGGAGTATTAAAGTTGTTGGTTAAAGATGCATCTTTTAACAATTTCCGGAAACTTTGATGGGCAATGGGGTAATTTCATCCCCCGTTCAGATGAGGATGTTATTTATTATGCCGCAGGAAATTTATCTTCCTTTGATCATAAACAACGCCACTATATTCATTTGCCCGTAATAAGATATGCGTTTAATGCCACGTAGTTGATGAAAGATTGTCGATATTAGAAGAGAACGATAATTTACTGTTATCGAATCAGTTAGCTTATCAACTCGGCAGGATTTAATACCAAAGAATTTAATACCAAGAAATTTATATCCGAGTTTATCAATATTCTCGATTCTGACTAAACAACCGAACAAATTTAATTCCTAATTTTACAATATGCGATCGGTTAATTAATTATAGAAATCAAACTGAATTCTCGTCGCTTGGAAAAATTTCTAGAAAAATTAAATCAATCGTATCGATCATATCTCATTCTAAAAATTAAAATTCAAATATCCATAACAAAAAGCTCGAATACTCCATACCAAAAAACGAATCGATATAATTTACCTCGAACTTATTAAAATACATCCTATCCCGACAAGGAAACGGATCACCAATATCACCAATATCATTAATCGAGACGTATCCCGGATACATGGAGCATACCTGCGGTTGTTAACCGCGTAGCAACCAGGAATTCGGCTGTATCCGGAAACGGAAGAGTTTCCGGGACGGAAGCGACACTCGGGCAACGAAACAATCGGTGTTGGATCGCGCGTAATTTCTCGTGCCGCGAATGAGAGGTGCCCTTTCACCGCGCAATTCCACCCTGATTAGCCCGTGCACGATGCGCGGCCATATTTAACTAACTAATGCAGTTGCAAATTAGCTATTAGTAGGTGTTGCACACGGTGGCGGATAGGCGTAATCAAATTAAACGGAATAGTTACTGTCTCCAGTGTCGAGGAGGGGGGGAACTAGGTAACCCTGTTAGCCTAACTGCGCAAAGTGCGCGCATGATACGACCTTGTGCACGCCTGTGTACACGTTTGTGGGCGCAAGAGGGCGAGAGAACGCGCGCATTAGCGGGGTAACGCAGGTATGAACAGGGATGATGCATAGGGTGAAATCACCGCGGATCCCTCGGGCACGTTATCGGTGTCGGGGAAAATATTGAAAACGTGTGTCGGGGGAGGAGGAACCGTGGCCTGGAAAATCGAGGAGAATCGGTCGATAGTTTGGAGAAAGGAAGCTATTTTTAGTATTTCTATACATGCGGTGTTACCCTCTCCCCCCCCCTCCCCCCCGGGCGATAATTTGGAAATTTTATGATGATCTTTCTACGATGAATTGTCAATGATGAATTTGAAATGTAATATATTTGAGAATGATAGGATTTTGAGATTGGAACATTTCGTGAAATAATGACAAGCGAAGGAAACTTTTGAAGGTGGTCAAAATTAAAAGATACGTTACACGAAAAATTTCTATATTATTATCAATCGATATTTGTTAAATTTTAATCGAAGCTAAAATGGTGTGTGTGTGTGTGTATATATAATAGTTATTTTAGAAATTCAAGGTTTAATCGGAATTTCGAGAGGATGGTTCCGATTGTTTGTGGGAAACGCCTTATGCAAACATTTGCACACGATTGGGTAAACCGTAACAGATGTGTGTTGCCTGCGATGCAAATGGCAGAAGTGCATTCGTATCGATATAAACACAAAGGACATGGGCGAGCCATTTAAACGGAAACAAGGACCTTGTGTTACCGAGAATGGAATTGGTATACGAAACGAACGGAAGGCGGGTCGAGCAAGTACCGTAGACAGAATATTATCGGTTCATTATACCACAACTTCTCGATGGTTAAATAATCGTATTCATGAATTAGATTATTGGATTTTGTATAAATATATGAATTTAGTGTAGTCGCTTCAATAGATATATCACGCGATAGAAATTTCTATTGATGATCTAATAAAATAAATTATAAAAAGCAGATTATTTACGTTTCCTTTTACGAAAGAAGTTTTCTACTAGTTTTCAATTTGTCGAACTAATTTCAACCCCCTATCTATCTATAACAAGTGATTTTTGATTAAAAACAGAAAAATTAACTTTCTTCGTTTCGAACTAGAACTTCCTTATCAAAGTTACGACCGATCCAACTTTTTCAAAACTTATCCTCAAAATAAATCCTCAAAATCAAATCTTCTGGGATCTTGGAGACGAATCAAATGAAATATTAATTTCTGTGTTAAACAATAAATCCTACGATCTTCTACTTTCTAATATCAAAACTTAAAACTTAATACTCCAAGAACGGAGAAATTGAAATAGTGACGAAAAATTTGTGATCTCTCAAGAGAAGATAACATATTCGCTTATTATTTTTCTCAAAAAGATCACTCGATGTTGCTCAACAAAATAATCAACGAAACCTCAAGCCCTCGGAGAATCGCGCGATACTCTTTTTCTCAATCCGTCTGAATACATTTCATTTCGAAACTGGCGCAACGTTATTCGACCTGATCCACTTTACCTGATCCTACATATTTATTATATTACGAACCTGGGCGAGTTGCTCCGTCGTTGCCTCGGTCGCCAGCCTGGCCAGACCCTCCTCGTACCTCTCGAGGGCCGTCAGTCTGAGGAGCAAGTTTTGCAGCAATGCCGAAACTTCCTGTCTGGCCGCAGCGTCGACCGCAGCGACCTTCTGCGTGATGGACCTGACGTGGCTCATCACCCTCTCGTCCCGGAAGTCGTACGGGAATGTTTCCGTCCATTCGGCGAGCAGTTGCACCAGTCGTGGCACGAAACGTTGCAGACGTTCCTGGACACACAGTTTCCAAACGTGTGAATCCTCTCTTCCTTCGTTTTTTTATTATTTTCCACGCGTTTGCGTGGAAACAAGTTTCGAACGAGAGGGGATTCGAATCAGAGAGAGAGAATTTTCGGTGTTTGGATCTCCAAGGGTGATATAATATTTTTGTGAAACGTATTCTTCGGAATTTTTCGAAATTTTTGAGGGATCGAAAAGGGAGAAATTGAACGAAATGAATGTTCGAGAATTTTTGGTAATTGGATTTCTCGAAAGGTTTAACCAAGCGGGGAGGATGGAAAGAGAAGCGAGGAAATTTTTGCGAAACCTTTGGAATTTTTCAAAATTTTCTTCAGAGGATTGAAGAATAGGATTAATTTCGAAGGGAAATGGAATAAGCGATGGAATCTTTTCTTTATAATCAAAGTTTTCTAAAACTTAACTCCGTAAAGAAACGAAAAATGGAAAGAATAGGATTCATCAGAGAGTAAAAAGGAATAAAAAAGAAATCTTTCAGAAATAAATCAGGATTTCGAAAACATATTCTTGCATATATCAAAAATCAATCAAACGAAACAAATTAAAATTGCAGTTACAAATGTCTGAAGAACTGCATGGGGAAACAGAAAAAGAGAGAAACTCGAGAAAAACAGAAAAACAGAAAGTAGAGAAACGCGTTACGAATTCCAATTACCAGGCCAACAAAATCCAACCCCCAGCAAAAATCGAACGAGAAAAGAAAAGAAAAGAAAAAAAAACATATATCTATATATATAATCAGAGAGGATATTGCCAGATAAAGAAACAGCAAATCGGGAAAGGAAAAATCGTGGAGGTGGAAATTCATTTGCGAGGAAGACATTTCTGGCCTGGATACGCGTGCTCATTATTACAACGCGGAACGAGAGCGGGCGTGCCAGAGCTGATTCTCCGAGGGGTGAATGCGAAAAGGGGGTCTCGAGGCTGCCTCGAGACGATGAAACGATAATGCACGCGGTGGCCGTAAAGTGCACGCCCGGAAGGCTCTCGTTGGGCTTTTGTGGAGGACGAGGGAGGAGGATCCGTGCGGCCTCACCTTGCCACCCTCTCCATTCAGGTTTTGCTGATGCTCGCAGAGGGCGCAGACCTCGCCCAGAAGCTCGTGCGGCTTGATGAAGAGCCTGGCGCTCAGCAAAAAGGCGAAGAGGTAAGCTCGATCGGGATAATATTCCTCGGTGGGCACCATATGCTGCACCAGGGCTTCCAACGAGCCCGACACCAGATTCCCGTCCCGATATACCAACGCCTGGAAATGAAACACTGGTCCGGTTAATTGTTCATGATTATTCACCGATATATATTCATGGATTTGCACCTCGTACTTGCGAGAAGGAGGAAAGGTGAATGGTTCGAATGGTTTCGAAAGTAATCGCGAGATGTCGGGTAAAAGGAGGAGAGATTGGAAAGTGGTGAAGTAGTGCGAGAAATATTGAATGTGCAAGTTCGAGATAAAGTGGTACGTGATCGTGTAATTGTTTTGAAACGAATAACGAATAAAAGAAAGTAGAGTGGTTGAAGGTGGAAAAATGATAGGTAAAGTTTGTGAGAAATGTTGGGCGGGGATTTTCTTTTTTAATGTAGCGAGGTGTTGAATACGAAGAGGGATGGAATTGTGCGATTGCAATTCGGTTTGAAAACTGTAAAGGGAGGATATTAAAATTATTTAAAGGAGATAACAATCTTAAAGAGGGATTATCGTGATTGGTGTTGGAAAGAAAATTTTTGGATTGTTCAATTGAAAATTGTAATTTCATGGTAAATTATATGAGAATGAAAATATTTAATCAAAATAATAACTAATCGAAAGTTGTATAAAAGTTTGATGTTCTTGCAGTTTCTGTAATTTTAAAAGAAGTATATCATATAGTTGCTTTAAAAAGTATCGTCGAAGAATTTCCTCATTTTTCTCCCAATAATTTCGACCTGTTTATTTACCTCGATAGTGAATTTTTATTAAAATCTTTTACATTTTATGTCGATACAATTCAATATAATCTATATTGTTGGATTAATAGAAAACGAAATTTGATAACGAATACACATATCGATATTTTAATCTCGTAAACAGACTCGACAGATTTAACAAAGGATTCGATATATTTTTTCCAAAGTAAATAAAAGAATCGAAGATTAACGAGAATCAGCCGATTAGAACGAGGTGACGTTGCAAAACTTTCACGTGATCAGCAGATTTAAAGTTCTTTCGGGATTCCTGCCAAACTCGACTGTTGTGAAAGATTAATCCTCTGGACATACAACATTTTAACTTTTGTTTGTTTAAAATAAATAAAAACCAATATCGACGAAATACTTGAAAGAAGAACGGAAGAAAAAATCTCAACAACTCTAAGAGAGGAAAAAAAAAAGAAAAAAATAACTACAATTCTTATAAGATATTTAATAATTTAGTAATAAAATCAATTTTTTTCTTTTTTTTTACTTCCTAATTCAATAGTATCAGATCAATTAGAGAGATATATATTACAGTTTGCCTTTCTTGTTTAACAATTAATAAAGTAACACGCTTGGTGAACGAGTTACGAATCGTCAAACGACAATTTGTATCACACGTTAATTCTTGGCCGGCCGGTATTTAACGACAGATTAATACGTTATCTGCAAACATATTAATTAACGTAACGTCGTCGTCGCGCGATTAAATATGCTGATGCATAAAGCCGGATCTGATTGCACAGGAAATACGGCAGTCGGTCGATAATGTCGTTAAACCGATATTTAACGGATGGGATGGGATTTAAATTCGTTTGAATCACAGAGAGGGATCTGTGAAACTGATTTCGTGCCACTCGTTATCGGCCGCTAAGCGCGATATAATAATCGTGGAAATTTTACAGGCTCGCGAACTTGAACGTAGCAAAAACGTATTCGAATCCATATTTTACAAGTTTATAGATCGCATAAATATATCTCGCTTTGCGATATTCGATATGAAATAAAAATGTAATAACCAGTGAAATTCCAATTCGAATTCCAATTCTGGTAAAATCAATCTGGCAATTTCTAGAATTTCTTTTTTTTTTTTCCTCCTTCTTTTTTAGCAATCCTTTTCAACGGATTTTTCTATTGCGCTATCGTGATATAGAAGAAGAGCCAAGTTGACCATCTTACTTTAAAAGAGTAAGAATTCGTTGATCGACGTTCATTCGAAAAACGCAATGCAACTTTAGTTTCAGTTTTGAAAATCTTGTTATAATAGCAATATATATGTATTTTGCTACACGCGATAATTTAACTTTTTTATCGATTCTCTTATCCCCCATATATACTCGTCATTTCTTTAATTTTTTTTATAAAATTTTTATAAAAGCTTTTTCAAAGTAAAATTATCAAGTTGGACGTAAACGAAAATAAAATATGTTTCCGTGAAGCTATTTTAACGCTCGCAATGCTTTAACAGATTAGAGCAACTGGGAGAGAAACTCTTGCAAGTTGGTACGTGTACGAAATCAGAAATTCGTTTCGGTCGTAGACAGAGTCGAATGCCTCGAGCTTTTCACTCGGCCCTGTAACAAAGTTTCTACCCGTGTAAATCTGCGAGCCATTAAAGTTGCGACGGTCGGCTAGCTAAGCCCTGCCCAGGATTCAAATGGCTTAAACTTATCGTGGGCTAATACAGTATTGACGGGGCGGAATTCCTCTGCTCGTAAACTTGCCATCGAAATGGCAGGCTAGAAGGATGGAGGTGGGGGGGGGGGGAAAGGGTGAGAGGTTCTTCCACCCATCGAGTCTGGTTTGGAAGAAAAACTTGCCGTTCCGTTTTTCGAAATTCGCGCCTTCCGTGAAGTTTCAGACCGATTCGTCGAATGCAAATGAGCCTGGATCATGGAAGTGAGATCTTGCAAAGTTTTTTTTTCGATTCTCGTTTGGATAATTGCACGGTTGATCGTGTGACAAATGGGAGAAAAAGGATCACTCGAGTCTTTATTCTCGAACAAGATGCAAAGACTCAAATCGCTTATAATTATAACTTTTCTTAGAATTACTCTTTTCCAGAAATTGCGTCTGTCGGATTGAAATAGGTCAGTGAAACGAGTTATGAGCGACAAGAATGAGAATTAGGTAAAAAAGGATTAAAAATTACCTTTACACGACTTGTCAAAACGAATTTTAAAAGAGGAACCATCTTCAGAGTTATATGTTGTTCGAAGTTTTCTTTATTTTATAATTAGGATTTGATCGAGTTTTAAGATAAATTACGATTTCAACGATAGCACATCGGAGACTCCAAATTTAAAAAATTCTTCGAAGTGAGATAAATCTTCACTTGATCGTATCTGTAGCCTATTTATTATTAAAATTTCATCAAGACTGCCGCACGATCAATTTAGTCTTCCTATGAATATACATTAATTCAATTAATTCCTCCATTCATAATCTCCTTTGTGCATCCTTCCATTGAACAATTACCTCTCCTTCGTTCAACGCAACGACGAATGTCAATCAACACTCTAACCAAGAAGAACCCCGTTTATTTTTCGAGGGTTGACAATTGCGAGGCGCGTTTAATCGCGAAAAAAATCGTGGAAAGAAATCCGCGAAATCGTGGGGACCCTTCCGTTTTAGCTAAACTTTTGTCGTCGCCGTAACAATCGCGGCGATTCCATTCCGGGATTTGGCGTCGTTCCTGTCCAAAAAAAAAAAAGAGAAAAGAAAAAAAAGGAAGAAGAAGAAAAAAAAGAAAATAAAACGAAGAGACGAGGAAGAAGGGCGAGAAGGGGACACCAAGGGACGAAGAAAACGCTCGGTCCACCCGTTATAAAACATTCCAACGTCACCAGGCTATCCGAGCTTGCACACGGGCCGAGGCCGTTTTTGTTTTCACCATCGATCCAGACACCCTCGCTCTCTCTCTCTCTCTCTCTGCCTCTTTCTCCCTCTCTTTCTCCCGCTTAAACCGCTTTTGTTTTGCACCTCGTTTCGAGTCCTACTAGCAACAACCGGTATCATGCGAGTGCTTCCTGAGATAACTTGCACGGTGAGTATATGTGTGTGCGTGTGTGTGTGTGCAACATGCGTTGTCCAAAGACTTCCCTTGGGTGGTTAATACCGGATGCTGGAAGGAAAGGGAGATGGGAGAATGGATTTTGGGGAACGGCTGACGAGGATTTGGGGCGCTCGGGTGTTTTTGCGTTTGTCGATGGATTATAAAGCTTATAAATTTTCATTTCTATTTTTGAACTTGTATTTTTTTGTAAATTTTGCTTACATGTGCTCGGTTTCGTTATGAGAGAAAGAACGAGTGTCGCGAAAGACACTCGACGTTTGGTTTTAGGAAGGAAGTAAATCAATCGTTTTCGTGATTAGCAAAATTTTTTTTAAGATTGTAAGAATTTTGAACGAATTTTATAAAATATCTAATCTCGAGCGTGTGAAAGAGAGGAGGAGAGGGCATTGTTTATACTAAAAATAATTTCTATAAACTATTCGTTTTAACTTCCAACTCCTTTAATCCTTCTATCCAGTACTTTAATGCAATAAATTTATCAAAGTTTACATACACACGAATTAATTAGAAAAATTCTTTCTCAAAATAATTAATTTTCAATTTATACCCTTTAAACGTTGCAAATACGGTATCCACCGACTCAGAAATTAATTATGGTCCCCCTATAGAGAGCAAAATTTCTCATTTCCATTAAACTGCAAAATTGCAGCATACCGAGGCAAAGAACCGCAGATAGTCTCCACAATCTTGCCACAACCTTCTCAACGATTAATCTCGCGTAATCCAGACACGTTCCAATACACGCGTCCGCCTATATACGTATATATAGGTTCTTTGAACAAAGCTGCGACACAATTTCGGATTCGTTTAGCGATTCGGAGGGAGGAACGGCATGTCGCGTGAAAATTTCATTTCTCGGCGTGCACGTGGATTAGAAACCGTTGTCAAAGTTGTCGACGTTCCATCGTTATTTTCCACCACAGCTCGGAAGGCAAAACAGAGGGTCGAGGTAGACGAAGAGGTGGTAACTTTGGTAATTCGCTGCACGAACGTCAAACTGATTTTTTTTTTTACTAATATTTTCATATGATTCTACTTTTTAAAGCGATTTTAAATATTCTAAATTGTAATTTTACTCCTCAGATCCCAATGTTTCAATTTTCAATTTGGTCAAAAAAGTGTCAAAAAATTTTGTTCCGGATTATCGCTCAATTTTTCTTTTTCGATGATCTTCTTTCTAATACTTAAGTCGAGTTTTGATTAAACGTATAGTAAATTAG